TAAGGTGTCAGTAAGTGGTTGGTAAGGTGACAGTAAGGTGTCAGTAAGTGGTTGGTAAGGTGACAGTAAGGTGTCAGTAAGTGGTTGGTAAGGTGTCACTCAGTGGTTGGTCAGGTGTCAGTAAGGCGTCAGTAAGTGGTTGGTAAGGTGTTGGTAAGGTCTCGATAGTAGTGGTATTATCTTTTGACTACATGTAGGCTCTAATTTCATGGTTCATATTGATTGTCAAATCAGTTGTCAAAGAAATCAAACCTGATATAAGTCTTTGGTGAGGTTGGCCACACCATTCATTAAAATTGCATATAGAGCTGAATGGAAAAAAAAAGGGAAATTAATTATGATCATGTTACATTTGTGGACATTAAAAGTGCCTACAGACCAGATAGTGCAGCATGACAGACACACAGATTGTGGATAGGGTTCTCTTTCTTTTGACCTGTCAATAAAAACAGAAAACATATATCAGCATTTAAAAATACACAGTTGTCCTGGAAACACCTTGATTGGCATCACACAAGCCTATAAATAGCTATTTTATCAGGGGCTGGTCACTTAAAAATATAATATCTGTCAAGTGAATGAGTAGGAAACTTCAACATGGTGTAAAAAGATTTGTAACTATAATATTAAAATATGTATCAGTCATCCTATACTATCCTATACTATCTACAAATAGATGTATCTCCATGACAACATACTTGTGCTTAGCTGTTCCATTTCTTGAAGCTTTCGTTTTTTTGCCTAAACACAAAGTTGGAGGTATCAAAATAATAGGCATTCAAGGTAGACAAGGGGAGGTTCGTTTTTCTACCAATCTTAGTTATACCATTTCTTGAAAAAAATATAAAAGCGCTAAACATTATTTTGTACTTCTACAAAGGTGAAGAGGGGGGGGGGTTTGTTCAAACTATTTTTTCCATCCAACTAATCCATGCATGGCGCAATTAATGCATGCATTTATAACTACCAATCATATACCATTATGGCATTGTGCTTTTGGAAAGAGCTTGTGATAATGTACATTCATCTTCGAGCAACTTGTAGTCATTACACTAATAACCACTTTACATCATACCTTATTGGAAGATTTTGGCTGTTTATGGTCATCTGGATTCATAAGCTATAAAAACAAACAAATGAATAAAAGAAAAGAAATCTTATGCTATTTTCAACCAGGATGTTTTTAGGATGAGGTACACTACTTAAATGATCAAGTACAATAACAACTTCTAGGTATCAGCTCATCTAGGGAGGGGGGCCTGGGGGTGCATATTCCCTACATCCCTCCCCTAGATTTGTCACAGGTTTAACACATGTTTACAGAAAAGGATCCAAGCCTAAATTTAGGATTCTAACATCTCAATAGGAACCAATAAAGGCATAATATTAATTCAATATGCAGGACTAAAGAGTACCTTAGTTTGTTTGGTCTGTGGTCTGATGTCAGTCAAGATATTAAGAATAACCTTCTTTATAATATCTGTACTGATGCTGGCCTTCAGATGGCACCAGTTGATGAAACACTTGAACAAAATGCATCGAAGATTACTGAAAACAATTATAGAATCAATGCTTGGTTTTTGATGTGGCCATCCTAGCTGTAAGTTTTGCTAAGCAGCAAGAAAGTAACCTTAAATTTGAGACTTTGAAACAACCTCAGGGCTGATCAAATTCAGGACATGGCTTACTCACCCATCAGGAAAACCAGAGAGCGTAGAGAAAAATATTGAATCAAGGGACCAACAGACTCAACAAACTCTCACGTCATGGTATGCTAAGTCCGGACCTGTTTCAAACCCCAGAACCCAGAAGTGAAAGACAAATGCCACTGCACTACTACCCCCCTCCCCTTAGCTGGGGTGCATCCAAGATTTTTTTAGGATGGGGTGCACTATTTATGAAAAGGAGGATCACTAGTTCAGCATCAATAATGCAGTTAATGTCAGCTCACCTGGAGGGATGGATGGGGGTTCATACCCCCCTACATCCATCCCCTCCCCCTGTAGTTCTGCCTCTGCTTAATTCCCATAATGTTAACAACAGCATCATCACCAACAACGACAACTACAACAACCTCATCAACAAAAACATCAATTACAGAAATCAACAACAAAAAAATCATCAACAAAAACAAATGATATACCTGTAAGGTTTGTGTCCATCATGTCTTTTATCTTGAGACTTGTCATTTAATGTCCAGGACAGTTCTCTTATCAGCACATTCGATATCTGGTGGTTGTTTGGCAAGAGAAGACTTCTGCATCTTAAAAACATTAATAATTATTGGTAAATAATAGAATATTGTAGTACAGATATAGGATCACTAGCCTTATTTTTTTACCAACAACCTAGGTATACTGATGCCTACCTTTGTAATAAGGAGTTAAGCAGTCTTATAGCACTCTCATGTATGACAGATAAGCAGGTCTTTAAAAGAACTACATCAACTGACACACTTTTCTGAAAGTCAATATGTTTAGAAATTAGTAAAAATTGTTGCATTAAATTAATTAAGCACTTTGAATGACTTTCAGACAAATGCTCACATGAGAAATCAGGGTTAGCATTGGCCATTAATTACAATTAGTATTCTTACAAGCATATTGCCATTAACTGCAACAATTCGTTCAACTAGTAGAAGAGTATCTTCTATTGGTATCATGGAAATTCTATGAGTTCCCTCTCTGAAAGACAAAATAACATCAATGTATATGATAATGATAGACCCGTACATGGTAATGATTACAGTGATGAAGAGCCTTTAACAATTTTTGTTTTTGAATGCTGAAGCAACCTCTGGGCTGACAAAAGTCAGGGCACAGCTAATTCACAGATTCTGAAACAACTTCTGGGCTGATCCAAGTCAGGGCACAGCTCATTCACAGATTCTGAAACAACCTCTGGGCTGATCTAAGTCATTATCATAAGTAAACCAAAAGAAAGCTTGTGTATTTGGTATCATACCTTGTCATGATGTTGAGACAATCCAACAGTGAGATCAGTCTGGCAGTCAATACGTTGGTTCTCTCAGGTTCTGCATCAGTTATATCACTCACTGCCAATGTCTCTGTCTTTCCAAGCAAGGTATCTATTCATATAAAATCCATTTATAGTTATAGATTACATGTATATGATAAAAAAGTTCTTAATTTTATCAAATAACATTTCATCATCATTGATTACGTAATGGAATATGGATCCATGTTGAATTGAGGTTGGAATGACTGTCACCAAGAAAGCCTGCAGTATTTAGATACAGCTTCCTCTTTAGATTTTACATTTTTCTTTATTCATGTTTTTAAAAACCCCAAATGGAGGTGACTGGCCGACTAGTCTTACCCAGAGAGCCATACATAGTCCCCCTTTTTGATCTGTGAACATACTATTTAAGAACAAACAGTGGTTGATTTAGGGATAGTAGGGGGGGGGGGACCTAAACAATGTTGACCAACCCCTTTGTAAAGTCATAGATCAGTTATTGTAATATTGTAAGCTCTGGATCTGCTCTGGCATTGTTCTCAAAAATTGCCTGCAGCTTCTTGCAGCACCAATAAATGTTTTGCTCTTTTTTTTTTTAAAATACTTTGTATTTAATAAATATTTCCAGGCTGTACTTATGTAACAGTAACTAGTGATATAATGTTCAACTTACCATTTAGTGGGTTGTTTGACATTTCAACATTCGCATACAGATTATTCAAAGCATGGTTTATTGTGGCTAAAACTCTATTCCACTGGCACTCCCAGTTGGTTTTGTATTTGTCAGTTGATGTTGTATTGCTGCTGCAGCCAGCAAGAAGAGCAAAACACTGGCAAGTATTCTATGAAAACAAAAAAATAAAGTAGTCATTCATGAACAAAAATAAAATGTGGTGCAAAGTACTGTACAGTGTATCACATAATGCAAACTTTATAGGAATGAAGCTCCATCAAATTTTACCAAATCCTGAAACGACCTTGGGCTGATCAAAGCAGGGGTTTCATTAAAAAAAATGGGGTGCAAAGTACTGTATCCCATAATGCGAACTTTATAGGAATGAAGCTCCATCAAATTTTATCAAATCCTTAAACAACCTTGGGGCTGATCAAAGCAGGGGTTTCATTGAGTTTTCAAGAATTTTTCTCATTTACCAGAGCATTCTCTGATCCCTGACTGTTAACTAATGAAACACAAACTGACAGATCAAATTGGAATTTAGCACGTTACATTTCCTAGAAGGAGGAAAAGCACCCTTGTTTGCCAAGCTCTAACATGTATGACAAAGAAACATTTACATGTAGTTATTTTTATGAAGAACTACTGCCCTGTTAACATTATTATCAATTACCTTTCTAATTTTTGTGTTCCAGGAATCCAGACAAGGAATAATGTAGCTCTCTATTTGAACCTAGTTAATAAATATGTGATACAAGAAAAAATGAACAAACAAACTAAACAAAATAACAAAAAGTCCATGTTTTACAAGGGTAGCACTTAATGGCAAGTGGCTGACAAACCTGTGACCCTCGTTACATGATCAAATTGGAATTTACAATAGAAGTTGATTTTTATGGAGGGATAGAAACTAGAAAACCCAGAGAAAACCCCTTAAAGCAAAAGAGAGAACCAACAATAGACTCTGTCTTCACATACAACATTCAACTTCGGAATTGAACCCCCGAGTTGCATTGCTGAGCAGGGTCACAAGCAATCTAACCCAAACATAACCAAAATTTTTAAAAAAATATTTCTGTTTATCAATACATAGCTGAGAGTGTACATGTATTAATATGGATGCATCAACCATTATGTCGGTACCTCTTACCTTGAATGGTGCTACAGGTCCTGGCATATACCTTACACATGTACAAATACCAGATAATATACTATCAACATCCTGCAAAAGTAAATGGATTGGCACAGAGTCAGTAATTTTATAGCTTTTTATATACTATCTAGGCTGGTCAGTAATAGGTTCAAATTATCATTGACATCAAAACCTTCAAAAATATCAAGAAGGTAACTTGAAGATGGCACAATTTAAACAATAAAAATGCATATTCCACACAACGTTGAGTGCAAGCCTGACAGAGTACAAGGTATTGTTTCTATAAAGTATAAGTTCCCCTTGCAAATACTACTTGTAAGTCTCTATCTGGGGGTAAAACAATGAAAATAGATCTATTTTTAATGCAAGAACCAAGTGCCTGACTGGGGAGTGTTCAGGGTGCAGATACACCACCTTCGCTCATCTCCTTCTATGACACACCCCTTTCTGACGTCCACAATATGGGGCATGGCTTTTGTTTTGAACACAAGAATTGGATTTAGTGCAAGTTCTAGATATTACAATTACCCAATATATACATTGTATATAATGTACCTTGTCTTTTCGAGATAAAAGTGCTGAGATCAATGATGGCATGACAGAATTTGCAATCGTTCTTGATATATCTGGAAACTAGAAAAAGGAATATGTTAGAATCAACAAAAACCATGACTGAAAAATGATTTTAAAGGGGCTTTTTGCTTTCCAAAATAACGTTTGAATTTTATTATCTCTATAAATTTGATCATAAGAATACACAATGTCTTGTGAAGTAAAATGCTTGCTTTGCCTCAGTGTTATTTTGACCAGTAACATTGAGTCAGAAATAAGGTATGACCAAGCTAAAAATAATTTGGTCTGTCATCATGATCAGCAACTGACCAGCTGTTATTTGTTTGCCCTGACACTGTGTCTTAACCATTAGGGAATGCAATAATACAATACATATGGTAAATAAATACCTGTATAGCATATTTCATCAAATCATCCATAACCCTCACAGAACATTGAATCAAACTTGATGAAGCTGAAGAAGACTGGAATAAATAAGGTACAACTAAATAACAAGTTGTGATTAATGTCATAATGTGTAGTTCCAGAAAATATCCATGCCCCACCATGGACGGAATTTGTAAAAGGACCCCCCTACCCCCAGGAACTTCTAAAAATTCCTCCATACAAATTCTGTAATTTTGTTCCTCCATGGGTGAGGTATGGATATTTTCTGAAACTACACTATTAATATATAAAATCAGTTGAGAATCCCTGTATTTTACTTATCAAACTTAATTAGATGATATTAATTTTTTTTAAATGTCTGTACAATGTCTTTAATAACCAAAGTCAACTACAGCCTGTAGTTTAATAAAATTAGCATTTTTGGTGTTAACAAGCATTAGAATTGTGATGACTTAGTTTGCCAATCATTATAACAACTTTAAGTTCTTGCCTAGTTGATTTTTTTTCATCACTGAGTGAATTATTCTCTGGTTTGCAAAGTTAAGATGATTGTAAGCTTATATCATAGCAACTAGCACTTTTAACACAGCCTTACCTGGATAACCTGCACTATAGCTTTTATCCATGTTATACAGTTAATTGTAAAAGTCTCTGTGTCACACTGTGGTATAATGGTTGCGAGTAAGCTGATACCTAGCCATCTTACAACAACAGCAAATATGATTAAAATTGAAAATTAAATTAACTTAAGTAAGAAAAYTAGTTGTAAAAGACAACTTTTTGCAGTGATCTCGACAACATCATCAGGTCTAGTGATGTTGTTGAGGTGACAGCGGTATACATTCACTCCCATCTGGTATCATAGATAAAGGAGTTTCACATGGGTAATGTTTTTTGTGTATATGGGGAAAGGGGAAGCCAAAGGCCGATGTGTAGGATAGAGAGGGGGAGGGATGATCCATTGGTAGTCTTATACACATAACACTCCAAATGCATAAAGTCCAAGACCTTGTAAGACACACATATACATATGCCCTCTGCTTTTGCTTACCTTTCTGTCTTTGAATTTAAAAAGCTGTTTGCTTTTGCAGTCCAATCCTTACTACACTCCTGTCAACAAATTATGTATCCCTTTAGAAATATTGAGCTAAAAAGTGCAAAACTTATTTGGAAAACTTGTAAAGTAATCATGTTCATGGGTTATATTTTAAGAAGATTGGAATGAAATGCAGTATTTTTGCTTAATCTTAATTAGCAAAATATATTTCACAGTGTTCTTTGACTCGCCCGTTGAAACAAAGTTGTAGTGACTAAATAGTCAATGTAAAACAAAGGATAGCAATAGAATGAGCGTCTTATAACATTTTTTATCTACTATTTTTTCTCAAGCCAAGTAAAATCATTTTAGCTCAACAAAGATACAATAAGCTAAATTTGTAGAAAAAAATATGCTTGCAGTTTGCCCACGTGGTTAAGCCTTCATGAAAGTTAACAAGTTAAGACGTTAAAACTTTGCACACTTACGTATTCTAGAAGACACTGGTTTTCTTTTACGCATTTYAAGAGTGTAAAAATGTGCTTATCTGTCTTGTTATTGTCGTTTAAATACGAACCAACAACCACAGCTGTATCAGCCGCCATCTTGTTTGTATGACACAACCACTGACCTCAAAGTATCACAGTAATACCACAGGTACCCCAAAAGAGAAAGTCCTGACATAAAGGTTATCAAGTCTAGGAAGAAAACTCTGTTGTCAGGAAAAGTTGCTGGAGGGAATTTCGTTCGACACTGCAGAACTAGCAAGTGTTGTTATAAACAAATGGAAGAAACAATTGAGTCGTGAATCAAGTCACATCATAGCACAAGTTTGTTCTTCTGTAATCAAAAAACTGAAATATTAATTTGTTTGCGACTAATAGCAAAATACAGCGAGGTATAAAAGGGGCCTATTGTTTTAACTTAATAAAAAAAATTTTTTGGTTCACTTATAGATGTTGCAACACAACGAGAATCATTCATTATAAGCTTACATAGGTGAAAATAAAATCCGGAAGAAAAAAAAGCTCCTTTATTGAATTTTTGTTAGTCGGAGCGTCCTGTACTCAAAGCACTTCAAGATACCCATTTCTCCAACTCTGAAACTGCTAATACAACGTGATTCGTGAATCCAGGTTCATTGAGACGCGTGATTATTTTGAAATGTGCGTGATTCGTAAAACAATTTTCAAAATAAAGTTTCAGAACCTCTCTGAAAAAAGTTTATTTTTTACTGATGAATTTCCTTCCAAGACCCAGCCCCCCTCCCCCTGCCCCTCTTGGAGCAAACTGTAGTTAGATAGAAAGCAAAGAATGGAATGAGGCTGTTTAGTTCGTTTTCCCATCATGTTCAAACTACGTTATCGTCACCTGAAGGTAGAGTTTTCGATAAAAGTTCTATTTATTTTCATAATTATTCAAACAACGCAGAATTGCTCCCCTATAAGTATCGTGCACCGAAACAGATCGATGGCTCAAACAAAGGATTCCATTCGAGAAGAATTCAGGTTTTTAAACATCCTCCAAAGATGCATTATTTGTAGGCAATAATTATTTTAACTCTTCACTATTCTAACTATCGTAGTTAGATCTAGCAACTATGGACTAATTAAAATGTCATTGGCTTCATATTGTTCAACCAAAAGATATCCTTAACAAATAATCATCTTGAGAGATGTTACGTCTTTTATTGGGGTGGGGTGAGGGAAGGTAATCAGTGGAAAATATGACCAGCTCTAATCATTTTTGGAGCTTGAAAGAACGAAGCAAACGTGGCGGTAAAGTGAGATTGTTTTTATTCTTCCTTTCCATATTTCTGCTTCTTGTAAACACGTATAATATATCTTAGTCAAAAGAAAACAAAAAAATTCGCAAAAAAGTTTGGTTAGAGTAACCTGGGATGAGGGCTGGCGGCAAAACAGCTAAACGCCCTGTGATTGACTGGAACAAAATTCACCGCTTAGCTGAAAATGCTTCTTCGTGTGCTTGTGTACACCACTTTCGCATGCTTTATTAATAGTTATCGTTGAACTAAAATGGCGGAGTACTCTGATCTAAATTGACCTTTTTCAAGTTACAATACCGCTGTGTTCCTTGATTACAGACTCATTTACTCAGGCTTTACCCTAGAAGCAGTGACTAAATATTCACAAATACCAACGATAAAGTAAAAGAATTGAATGTACAGCTTCAACGATACAAACAACGACTTTCACCATTTTCACTAGAACACTTGAATGTTTTACACAAATTCGAGGCTAACCCTGAGCAACAGACAATTTGAACAGAGAACTGGAATATTAAATATGGTGGCTATTGAGCTAAAATGAAATAAAGAAGCAGTATGCACAATGTATGCACAATGTATGCACAGCATTTGGTTGGTTGCAATTAGCCTGCGTGCAGCCCAACGTAACTAACTGTTAAGTCTATACGAGAGAAAAGTCCGACTCGGCACGCAGGCTAACAACATTCAGCCAATCGCATATCACTGGACAATGAATAATGTATTATCTGTAGTTTTTCTTTACTTTCTTTATTTCTTTATTTCTTTATGTTTTTGCAGAAATTATATTTATCATGCCTAGTTCTTTCGTTTTCACTTCAGATATTGAAAAATTTTTGCTTTTCCCCAAAAAAAGTATATCAAAACAATTGATTTTGGTTTTGTATCATGCTCGATATCACGCAATATTATTTTGGCACTAAAATGTCCACAATTCAGGTAACTTTTTGAATTCAATTTGTCGTAATCTTTGTTTTGTTTTGTGTAATTGTTTTGCTTACGTTTACTGACGCACGTGCCTATCATTTTACAAATAACAGTCCCTGTTTTCCTGAATAAATCCCGTATTCACCTTGGACTCGGTAGCCATACAAAACTCGTTTGCCTAAGAAAAGAAAAAATAATGCAAGTACACAAGTCAATGCTTCAACTTCCAACGAACGACGAATGAACGACGAACTAACAAACATCTTTTTAATGCTGTACAGAACTAAAATATATTTTTATAGAACAAAATGAAAAGATTTAAATTTAGTATACTAAATCACAAACCTTCAACATACAAGGTTGAATGCCATTGAGATCCACACTCAGCATCATCATGTCCGTCAAAAACTACAAAACAAAATGTTTTGGCACTTTTTGATTATGACTTCACGTCTAAGAATGCAAGTTGAATTGCGACTGCGACTTTGATGGTGGTGATAGTGGTGGTGGTGGTGATGGTGATAGTTGCGACTGCGACTGCGACTGCGACTGCGACTGCGACTGCGACTGCGACTGCGACTGCG